TCGCGCCCTTTCGCCACGAAGTATTCTACAGTTGAGTGTTGGGTCAAGATCTTAGGGACGAACTTGTCACACTATTTGAACACTATTCAGCACGTTCCATCAAATATGCCTTCAACTTCACCATTCTTTCAAGAAAATGAATTTCTATCTTGTTCAAAAAATTAAAAACCTAACATTGGAGATTAGTCATTTCTTAAATATTCAGCGTTACAGTTGGCAAGCTTATATAACGCCTCTATAATTTATTATTTCTTTCAAGTAATATATCACGTATGAATTATGTTGTTCATTACAGTGAAAGTCATAAATCTTCGACTTGCAATATCTTTTATTCAATGAAATTTATTATGTGTTGATTTATGTGCAATTTTAGCCATTACTAATGTCTCGTTATGTAATTTATTTCCAGACGAAACAATTTTTATTACAATTCCACTGCTGTTCGAAGTATGAACTTTGCCGTTAAATTTGTCAACCTCCATTTAATTATTCGGTCGTTTAAAAGTTTCCAGTTGTAAAAGTAGCATCGCGCGATGTTCCGCGATTTTTCGCCGAAATTCTCCGAATTGCGATTGTTGCACGTCGCTTCGTGGAAACTGAGAAATGGTTCCACCGCGCTGATTGAGAATGTATAATGCAGAGCTCGCGAAATTCTGGCCCGAATTACTCTTTCTTGAATATACGTAAACGACCGCTTCGTAGGAAATGCATTGATCGCCCGATAGGGTCTGAAAATAATTGCCTGCATCAGAGGTGCATACTGCGACTGCATTATTCTACTCCTCGTTATTCGAAAACCCCATTAGCGCTCCGGAAAAATTAACAAACCTCGCTAAATACGACGTATTCTGCGAAATATATCGCTGGAAGGTAGAAGCATATTGTCGGGCCAAGAAATAAACTAGAATTTTACGATTTTATATTACTTTTTATCGTCTTAAATAACTGATTCAACATTTAATTCAAGAATATTTTACAATTATTCAAAACTCTTGAATTCTACTTCCAACGATATATTGTAATTATCTTATACATAATTACTCGAAGTAATAATAGAATGTACATAAATCATGTGTGCAAAATTAACGAATGCATGATTAATAACCTGCGATGCTAAAATAGTGAAAATGAAAATAATACAAAGTTCGATGCTTGATTTTAAATAAAGGACGATAATACTATTAATTAAGCACCGAACTGGACAAATGAGAACATTTCAAACACAAAATAGCAATTTTTTAGTGCGAAACAGATCTGACACAGAACACTAATACATCAAGAAGATGTTTCATCCATCTTGCATTGAATTAAACATCGTTTCAAATAGTCGTTCGTAAAAGCTTCGTCGCGCCCTTCGTCGAGAAAACAATCGCACAATTAAGGGATCAAGATGGATCTTTCAGGATATTTCACGCGAAATTCTCTTCAAAGTTATAAGTTCTAATTAACATCCATTCAACTATCACGAGTTCCAACGGAATTAAACATTTTTTAACTGTTAAAGTTAACTGTTTCTTTACAGGTTGTAAATTACGATTTATATAATCGTAGGAGATTCCTTCGTATCCAATATGGCGTCAGTTTGTCAGCTGTTGGGCGCCGCGTGAGATTGTTTGGGTTAGGTTATATCTCACTACGAGACACGAACGATATTTTACGCTTTTTGGCAAACAGTGTACGACCATAGACGTAATTTCTCCCGTCCTCGAGGTGACCAGAATATGTTGCCAAACTTTGGCATTGGTGCAGCGTTCCACTGGAGGAATAAGTATTTTCGCGATTCTTCTTTCTCTTATACCGCCATTCGTCTTCATTTGCTCCAGACAATTCAGCAGGCAAAGAGGTCGTACATCAAAACTTTCCTGGTTACCTGCTGCACTCTCCAACCGAAAAGCTTCCTTTTTCCCGTCGTTTCAACGACGATTCGTTCAAAACCACGTCGGGCCAATGGCATTCACTGATGGCCATTGAATCGCGAATCGAAAGAAACATTTAACATTTAATTAATTAAATTTTTCGAAAAATATCAAGAGAACTTCTTTCGCCACGATAACATACAATTTATACAGAAGCAGCAATACGAAGAACTTTTCGTGAACTCTCTGGAGCTTGACACGTATAGAGTGAAACTGAAACTGGGCCAATTCACGTTGAAACAGTAGAAAATAAAATTAACATAAGTGTAAATTATACATTTTTGTATCTACCAGTCATTCGAAGTATCATGAAAAGAAATTAGTTGCAAAATATATGCATAAATATGCAGGAAAACAGAAGAAACGTTCAAGTCTAAAAGTTAGAAATGCATACTATACAATGATCATTTTTCAGCAAAAGTGTCTAATACTTTTTTGTAGAGAATGGATAAAGGTATCAATTAGTGTATACAAAAATACATAAATACTCGAAATTTTAAAAATAGATTTTAATCCTTGCTAGTTTGTATCCATTTTTTATAGTTTCAAAGCTATTGTTTGACGTTTGTTCACGTATACGCACGAAAATCTCACGCACCAGATACGCTTTTCGTTTTCGGTTGACCTACAACCACTCCTGAAATCATTACGACGCGGTGGAGCAGCCGCGAATAAGGAAAACTTGCGATTCATCGTCGTTCTGGTAGAAGATTCCGACAGCATTCAAACCGTAAAGTAGAGAGAGAGTATTTTATTCGAGGATACTCTCCTCTCTTCCTCTCGAGGGCAACAGTGCAATTAACAAGCTCGAATCTTTGTTTCTCAATTTTCTTTCCGTCGCCTTAGAATCGAAAGCGATCGAGATCTCTTAAAGAAAACGTCGAGGAAAAAATGGCGTCTGAAATTCCCATGCTCCATCTGTCAAAGCGTCCAATCAGTTCGCCCCGTTCGAGCGCGCGAGCCCAAATACCCTAGGAACGTGTAAAACGTTCGAGCGCCGCGGGGGAAATATCGCATCGCGAAAAAAAAGAGAAGGAAAGAAGAACCGGGGTAGAAAAATGAAGAAAAATTGATGGAGAAACCCGAGGGAAGCTTAAACTTCTAAAAGGTCCGCTTTAATCAGTTCGATTCCAGGCCGAGCAGCCAACATTGGCCCACTTCTGCGAGTAATAACGTTGCTACATCGGGGCAATAAATGTGCTTGTAGCTCGCATGAAGCTGCCCCGGCCGGGTTCGACATGCAGCTTGCACGGATGAAGGTGCTCGAAAGCCGTGAGAGAGCTTCTCCGCCGGCACGCACCGATGAACGCGAAGCTTTCGCGGTTCCACTTGCCGCGACACCTTCACAGGAAAGTCTGGAGTAGCTGTTTGTCCTCGTTCGCGACCCCACTTGCCAGCCCCGTCCCCGTCAGATCACGCTACTGGCTGTTTGTGTTGGTATCCGTGCTCGAATCTAGTTTCTTTTGCCAGCCAGGCTTTCTTGCCTATTTTGGAACTAATGACTCCGCAGAATCGATCGAAACGAAAATAAAAATTCTCTAGGAACGTTTCCTTAAATAGAATTTTAGTCAAATCCGAAGCACAACGTTTTGAGGTTATGTTGTCATAAATGGAAACACTGGGGGAAAAAGTGGTTACTTATTTATTGCGTTTTAATAAGATTGCATATACAATATACAAAACTATTTCCAGTCTGGAAATGCTTAAGAATTAAAAAATCACTTCAAGTGTATCGAATTACACCCAGTAGAAACGTTTCAAACGAACGGGGGAATAGGAAAAGAAAACGTTCGAAATAACACGAGTGTAAGATCGTTCTGCCAACTGTAAATATTTATCGAGCCTAAAGTTAAGCGAGTGCTTGGCCACTATAAATAGTAGGGGAGTAGTTGTGTTTGTGAGACCAGCATCTCTACGTTTTTCGTTTCAATTTGAGGATACGAAATAGGGTTTAGTAACATTATTCGTCATCGAAATGCATTTGCAGTTGGATTTATATAAATTTGTGAAATGTATATCGACCTAATTATGAACAGAAAATTGGTCTGACCGTCTCTTGGGCCACCAAGAAGATTAAACAAGTTTCGCCAGACGCATCTGTTCGGCGAGCTCGCGACGCATCGGTCCGCAGACAACATTCGCTCGAGTCGTTAATCCGCTGTTACGTTCGGTAATTTGAGATCTATCGGGCCACGTACAAGCGTAAAAACTGTAGTTTCTCGGTGCAGGTTTTCGAGAAAATTAAGAAAGACCGCCCCAGAAGCATCGGTCCGCTAAGAACCCTCTAAAGAGCTCACCTAGTGGCTACACAGGACAAAAAACTGGATTCCTTTTCTCCCTCGGAACTTCTTTCATCCGTTCCTTTTATTTCGGTAAACAAAACGAACGTCGTACAAATGGGATTGATATCCACAGTGAAATCGACCGACCACGTCTGGAAGGATCCTTTGCGTTTCTAATAAATCCGTGAATGAGATTCGTTTTCTCGTCCCCATTCAGGATTAGAAGGGGTGTGTATTCGGCTAACGCGATCCTTAAGTAAACAGAATGGAAATAAAATCCCGCAGCCCGTTACGTGGCCACGCGCCGCTTAAAACGTTGGCTCAGATCTTGGTAATTGAGCGAAGTTGGCTCGTAAAGACAATCTCAGAAATGCCCGGTTTAAGGAAGGCCGGCCGTTGTCGTAAGTAGGTTACGCGCTGGAACCGGAATGCAAATTTCTAATGCAAAATTCAGCGAAGCCTGACTTATTCTCTACGCGGAATAAAAGAGGAAGCGGTCCGACGTTCACGGAGAAACAGGAAGCTCGGGCTTTCGGTGGCTCGCGCGACGGCAGAATTTCATTTACAATCTCCGCTTTCATGTTACGTTTAATCACGTTGCCTTAATGATGATACTAATTGAATTCTATGGGATTGGCGAGAATGATTTCTGCGAAATATTTCCATTTATTCGCCCGTAATTGGAGTTTAATAATTCTTCGTGTAACCGCCATTTTGTTGGATGACATTAACCCAAGTTTTAAGTTACTATTGAAAATAATTATAACTGCGCTAACGTTGGATGCTTATTTTTTGATTTCAGATTCTACTGGGATCTCTGCATGCTCCTCCTGCTGGTAGCGAATCTGATAATTCTGCCAGTCGCCATTAGTTTTTTCAATGATGACCTAAGCACTAGGTGGATAGCCTTTAACTGCCTTTCCGACACGATATTCCTCATAGACATTGTCGTCAACTTCAGGACAGGTGAGTTCAGCCCCGAAATTGTTAGCCATGATCAAAATCAAGTGGCTGGTCATCTCCATCCCTTGTTCGTCTATTCGAGAGGCAGATGGCGCCACGACACTGTAGTTTGTTCGATCGGGCGAAAGGTGGCGCTGAAACAGTCAACGTTATGGCGGGAATAGTATGTCTGTGACCTGCCAGTTGATTTTGATTCAACTAGAATGCCTGAATACTCGAACTAATACGTTTAAAAAGCGATAAGGAGGTGTAAGATCAAGAGTACTCGATAATAGAAAACTCATTTCACTTGAAGATACGATATGAAAGTGTAAAGACTCTTCTCTTGCTAGGGACGAATCACTATGGGGCTAATAGTAACCTCGTGTTCGCGGGAAGAGGTTCAGTAACGACGCAAAGTTTGCATTGTCGCATGCTCGCCGGGAAAAAGGACATTGGGGGAAGAATGACCGACCTCGTTCCTCCTCCCACGCAGTTCCCTGGCTCTACCCTGGTCTCATCAGGCCAACCCAAATCTCCGCCTTCCGTCGAAACGACGGACGATTCGTTTAACTATATTCGCGACCACGTTTCGAAAATAAAACTGCTAATATGCAGGATTCTCCAATACGGAACTTTAAATTAAAATAAAATGGAAACCACAAAACATACGTTCGACGACATTATACGTGAAATACGATATCATTTGAATGACCGCCACGATTGCGTTTGGTAGAGTAAATACGATAAACCCAATTTTCGAATGGTCAACAGTTTGTGGTTTCTCCGTGATGGCTCGCGCGAGTACAGAACAAATATGGCGACCATGACAATTATAAGTTCTATTTCCTGTATTATCTGTAATATCGTTAACGTATCTTCTATCGCATTGTTGTTCGATTTCGTGTGTGAAACACTTTCGTGGCCGCCGTTCGAAGAAATTAACTCTCTGGAATCATTCATATTCAAGCCACACCGGAGAAACGAAATTGGCCTCTCTGATGTTACACGAGAACGTAATTTCACAAAAACGTGATCGACTGCTATGAAAGCCGCGTATTCCCCGAGAGTCAGGTCCTTTTGTTCGTTTCCTGCTCGTTTCACCGCGCCACTGTTCCGACAGGGGCTTCCCCCTTTAATGTCAACAATTAGAACTTTTTTCTTTTCAATGTTCGCGTCCGAGCTTTTTCCAGACGCTGACGCTATCTGAAAGGCGGCCGCGCCTCAAAGCTTTCTTGCAACAAGATTATCTGGTAGCGACCAGGCGGGAAACGACTGGAAAATTGGAAAATTTTCAAAGGTGGAACGAAATTCTCTTGAAAAATCCACACCCTTCGACGGGTGATTGATTTTCCACTCTGTGTCCATTTGTTCCAGCTTCAGTTTGTTTACTGTTCGGTTTTCCGTGCCAAAGAGTTTACGTAAAGCTCCTTAGATAACGTATTGAAGTTTAACAAACTGAAATAAATATAAATATCGACAAGAGAACGGTTTAGTATAAATACAGAGGCAAAATACGCCTGCAAGCCAACCGAAGCTAACTACAGCGCATGCGTGCACGGGGTCCACACGCAGGGACCCTCGACATGCGCGTGCGCAAAACATCGCATCCAACATGAACGTTTCTAACCGTAAACAAACCACCAAAAATCGTAACATGGACAGTAAGGCTTTTCCTTATGTAAATAAACCATAAAATAATATAAATGATATGCAACTAGATGGTACCTTTACAATTTAATTAAAAGCAGCATATTTTTTGTCAAAATTAAACAACATCGCGGTGGTTGGGGCTGCAATTGCATCCCTGGGACCTCGACCCATCGACGCAGCTTGTTCAGACCTGTCCACCGTGACAACACGCACAATAATAACATTGTTGGACGCGCGGAGTGCCACTCGTGAGCTTGTAGACGTTTCGTTATTACCAGTAGGGAGGATTAATTTGAAACGCGTTCGAGTTGGTCCCAGTAACGCGAAATTGGGTCACGTGCCGCGCCCAATGAAAACCATTGTACGCGGTAAACTGTGTACGTGGACCGGCGTCGACTCGCGATTGTTGCGAATTCTTGATCCAGATTATCGGCCGTCGACCAATATTACGTTCCGCGAGCTGCATACTAACGCCTGGATGCATCCAATGACCCGGGTCGATCGGGAATTAAATATTTGTATGCTAATGAGGCCGACGCTTCCGGGATGAGGCCGGTTTTGGGGCCGAAATTAGCCAAGAACGGGACTCTCAGACTATTTCTGCATCTTCCGTTGCCACCTACGCCCCATTATCTGCACCAAACCAGGTTTCAAACGTGGATGTTAGGGATGAAAGGTCACGCTAGACGAGTAGGATCAAAATTAATGTCTAACGATACTAACTCTAAAAACTTTGATAGCAGTAAGAGCACCCAGCGGCGTTTTATCGAGCAGGAATTAAGATACATGTTTCATGCGTGTCCTCCAGGTATAATGCAGCAGGATAATGCCGAGCAAGTGATCCTGGATCCGAAGTTAATCGCGAAACACTACCTCAGGACTTGGTTCTTTCTCGACCTCATTTCCTCCATACCATTAGACTACATTTTCCTCATATTTAATCAAGTAAGTGCATATGAATATATCCGTGATCTCACAATACTCGAAGAATCACATACATTTATTAATAACACGACACAGAGCCACAGACACATTCTAAAAAAATTATTTAGATGCCTAAATTTTTCGGCGAAAAAAAAATTTCAGATCGTTCTGAAAAAATTATTTTCGGTTGAGGGGGTCAATTACAATCATTTTTGGTGAACAGACATACCCACAAAATTTTAACCAGTTTCGAGAAAAAAATTCAATAAGTGGATACATTTTTCGACAAAATTAAAAAATTTCAAATCGTTCTGAAAAAATTATTTTTGGTTGCCGGGGTCAATTGCAAACATTATTGGTGAATACACGTACCCCCGAAATCCTACGCGCTTTCGAGAAAAAAATTCGAGTAGGTGGGCAAATTTTCCAACGAAATTGAAAAATTTCAAATCGTTCTGGAAAAATTATTTTCGATTGAGGGGGTCAATTACAATCATTTTTGGTGAATAGGCATACCCCCGAAATCCTACGCACTTTCGAGAAAAAAATTCTTCGACAGAAAAATGGGCCCAAAAAGTGCATTGGATGGGGTCTGCTCGTGTACACAGCCATTAAAGACAAAACTAAAATTGAACGAAAACTGTTTGATAACCGTGTAAATTTCAGTTTCAGGACTTTAGCGAGTCCTTCCAGATCCTGCATGCTGGCCGTGCTCTAAGGATCCTCAGGCTTGCGAAACTGTTGTCGCTCGTTAGGTTACTACGGTTGTCAAGACTGGTGCGGTATGTCTCGCAATGGGAAGAGGTCTATGTGAGTGTTACCACAATTTCTTATACAAGCACCGTTTTCATTTTTGGTATCTCATATAATACCCACAGCTCGTGTGATCCTTGTATAAAGAAAGATATATAAACCAAGCGTCTCGTCGTCTTTCTTTCGTCAGTTTCAAAAAGTGACTGACTCTGTTTCTCGAGCCGCGCGCTGTCTGTCCGTGCAGCTTTCGCGTCGCTGTGTTGCATCGCGAACGAACGTGTCCCTTTCGTATCCCTCGGGGGGCCTGGCTTGGGCCGCGTACGCGAGCACAGCGCCGCGTCAGTTTTTGGAACTGTCTGCAATTACAGAGCACCGCCGACGCGTTCACGCAGGATTAATAACGTGGCCACGGCTACCGTAGAGAGAGCAGGAGGGGTAAAGGAGCCCCAAAGGCAAGTCCCCTACGAGTTGTCTGCCCGCAACGATCCATAGGTATGCGTGTACACGTTCGAAAACACAATCAAGACCCCCATCGTTCACGGAAAGGTCCAACAGAATCGGTTTGCCCCGATCCCGTACGAGACGAGGGCCTTCGTTCAACACGGTTTCCCGTTCGATCGGACGTCCCCCTTAGAGCATACTCGCTAGAACCAGTGTCCAGGCTCACCCGTTTCGTTAGGCGACAGAGAACCGACACGACGACCACACTTCTACCACTCCGGGGAATTCCTCAGAAGGCAAACTTGTTAGACCACACGTCTCGCTTCCCGTCTGCTCGATATGTATACCGAATAACACCGTACCCGCGACTCTGCTCTATTCCGGACAAAGAAAACCTCCAACCACCCTCCGTGTCTCTTTGACGCGATGACCACTCGTACACCGACCCGTCAACGAGCCCCTTGTTCGTGGCGATGGGTGTTCCCGGTGCCCTGCGTTCCGCAACTTTCGTTCAGGCGTGTCGCTTTTGGTGTCGTTCCGGTTGGAGGACGTTTGCAGACCTGTGGCTACACACTGGGCGGTCTGGTAGTTTGAAAGTCTTGGAGATACTGAAGCTGAACGATAGAGTAGACTCTGAACACGTTTGAATATTATAGAATCGTTGGAATAGTTCACTTATAGACATCCATGAATTATATAGCAGCTCTATCAACTATACATTAGTAGATTAGACGATTTTTCAATCCATTATCCAAAGACTGTATTCAGATTAGGAGTTTAGAGCCTGAGAAGGTTATGAATCATATGTGGTCAACTCGGTTTAGAGTCCTTCGTTAACAGTATGTACTTTTAAACTGTTTAGAGTCACAAGATCATGGACTAACTATAGTTGGGAAGAATTTTGACTTCTTCACTAGCTAATCACATTGATTTTGAGTTCTTCATCGTCCACACGTTAATTAGTATAGTTTTGACTCCTCTATTCATGAAGTATATAGGGATTAAGACTATTCGATGTTAAGGAATAGCGATCAATCTATCAGCCATGTTCTGTAGACTTCACATTTAAGAAGGTAGTGTTGACTCCTTTATATTAATCGTACAAGACAACCGTATGTAGATCAGACTAGTCTCCTACATAGGTCCTCTATTTACAGACAATATGATAATTAAATCTGTCTAGAGCCACTATACCATATACCATATATAGTTCAAACTAGAGCAGATCATGAACCATATATGCGGGTTAGGTTTGAAGCAGATTGTCAAGCAGTTTTTCCCCTATAATCTAAGAATCACATCCAAGTAGATTGTAGAGACTATGAACCACACCTGAAGCATACTATACTTCTGATCCATCGAAGCTGTGGTTCCTTTTGTGTAAATAAGTCTTCAATATATCAGCACGTCACGATGCATGCACTGTTCCCTCCAAACAGACTCTAAAAGTATTTGTATATACCCTAAGTCCTTGTACATACCCTATATGTGTGTATATATCTACATATTAAAGAAGGTTTTCTTCCCCTCGCAATTATTTTCCAACCGAGTCGATATTGCTCTGTCCACGGTTCTTCTTACGTCCAACACGTCTAATCTTTCATTCTCCCCGCAATACATCGCATCGTAAAATCCGAAAGTTCCGGAACGAATTACTCGCGTAAGTGGAACAGCAAAACTACCCGCGTACCCGCGCAATATCTCCAAGACTTTCATCGAAACAGGTCACCCAATAATCCCCCAGCGTCTTCGAGATCCCCCGGACCACGGTGATAACTTCAAAGCGACCGTTCGCTAAGCATTCGATGAAACGTCTCGTGGCCATCGCCACCTGTTCGGTCGTACATCGATCCTCCTTCTGTTACTTTACATTTCTTTTCTTTGATTTCTTAATACAAACACGAATACAAAGCAGCACGAAGTCCAAAAAAAACAGAGAGCAAACACACGTGCATGAGACCCCGACGAGGCGGAATCTCGGTCGATTGCGTTCGTGTCTCGAGCGTTTCCGGTCGATCTAGGCGTTCTGAGAGTTCACTCGTCTCGTTAGCGATAGGTAAGTAACTCTCCTCGTGGTGGAAGTCCTTCAGGGCTCGATATTCGTCCCGATCAGACGTGTGCTGGGAATATCGTTCTCGTGTCCGGTCGATGGCTCCGAGGAAGCGTCTCCAAGTCGGTTCGATCGGTATCCTTCGGCCAGGTCTGTTTTCCTCCGCGTCGTGCGGCCAACTCTGCGCGAACCAGAGGTTCCAGTCGACCGTCTGAACGCACCTGGGGCCCCGACGATCGTCGCAATTATCATTCCTCGCAAAACGTGAGAGAACTGTCGGCAGAGTCGGCCGTAACGAGCGACGAATTAACGCATTACCGCGATCGTTACACTGGAAAAGACAAACAAACGACGGTGCTCGTTCGCAGATCCGAGAGACAAGACACTTATCGCCGCCGGGACGTAAATCTTCCGCCGTAATCCCGATAGAGATCTTTGAGAAACGATTGTTCGAGCAACTGCTTAAACGGAGTGGAGGAGGATCCAGCCCAAACTGGAATCGTCTACTTGATCCCCACCCTGTCCCCCTCAGAAAACGCATCGATTAAAGCGATTGTGCGTCGGTTTGTTTGTGTTTTGCCGTTTAGCGCAGCGAACAGACCAACGAATCAATCAGGCTTTTCGTCTGTATGTTTGCGCTTGCGTTTGATAACGTCTTGTTGCCACCCTCTGCTTTCATTTCCTCTACTTTCCGTTCTGCTCGCGATTCGATCGCTGTCTTGGAGACCCCGTGCACCCCAACCGGTCAAACAGAGTTCCTGGCACTTGGTGTCAAAGTTGGTTAAAGGGTCCCGTAGCTATCGGTTCGATAGATTCTCAAGATCGAGTGCCGAGGTCCGCGTGTGTGCAATTTTAGACGCTGGAACCGAACGGGAGACCCCCTAACTCGAGAACAGAGCTTAGGATCGATTTCGTGGCAGAGTGTCGAGGAAAGGGGCTGGTAATTTGTTTAATTAAGGCTCCAGGGCATTCTCAGCTGTCCCGGTCGAGTCGGTCCACGGATTCGGCTTAACGAGAGCTTGATAATCCTAGCAGCAAATCGCTGACCGCGGTAGTTCGCGGGAAAAGTAGGTGTCGTTAATTAGAGTGAGCATCGAGAACTGTAGGGCGTCTGGGCTAGGTCTGAGGAACACGAATTTGATTCGTTGGAGTCGCTAGACCATCGTCGTCTAGCAGAGAAATAAAAGTATTTGCTCTAATGCTGATACTGAAGCTGAATGATAGAGAGGACTCTGAACATTTTAGAGAAACATTGGAACAGTTAACTTAGAGGCTAACTATACATGACCATTTATAGAGCAAGACTATTTAGAGCCTAGAGGTGATGACTATCATTGATGGATGATAACTATCACATTGATTTTGAGTCCTTCATCGTCCACGCGTATTATTTAGTATAGTTTTGACTCCTTTATTCATGAAGTATATAGAGATCAAGACAATTCAGTGCTAAGAAATAGCGAACTACTATCGGACCATTGTCGTCTGGTAGAAAAATAAAAGTATTTACTCTAATTCCTTCGAGCTCCGTTCGTACGTCCATTCTGTGGGGTAGAATCGATTTCGTCCTGGCCATTGAAGTGTCATCTTATCGAAGGATCGGGATAATAGCCTAAGACTCTCGGAGCAGCGTACAGAAACGTTGACACACTTCCGTTCCCGCAGGGGCCACCGAAAAATCAATCGGCCATTCCGCAAAGCCATTCCAGTTCCGGCGCGTCGTTTCCCTGGAAATCATCCCGCACCGCGGCGCCATTTTCGCGATACCAGAGATCCGTTCTAGGAACAAGGCAACGCGTAGGCGGTTTTCCACGAAAGCTTCGCGCGTCCTTGTATCGATCAAGCATCGGCGGATTAGCTAAAAACCAGCCGTTTAATGAAACATGACACACTCGGGCGTATTAATAGACCCGATTCACACCCAACGGTCCAGTTTAGACACTGCTCAATACTCCGGAGATTAGTTCTAGATTTATACTTAGTCTCAGATTTATACCAATGGTCCAGCCGCGATACGTTCGCGGATCGTTCAGGTGCTGTTCGACGATGTGAAGCTCAGCCTTGGACCGAATTCGCGATTGAAACCTTTCAGTGGTACTTCGGAGAATAGAGTTTGGACTTAATTTACGCTAGCACTCCATAGTGACTGGGGGAAAAATAATATTCCAGAGTCGATTATTGAAAATTAGATTTATGGAGCTCTGGACATAGATCCTAAAAATGTATTTAACAAATTATTAGGATTTCCATCTATCAGTGTTCAAATGTTCTTAAGCTTGGGACACCTGTGACGCATCGATAATGGAAAGAAAATGTTTTTGTATTTGAGATTCCAATGGCTTTAAATTTTGACCCAGTTTCTGGATGACCCAGTCTAGGGTCAAGTTTTCTGTATCTTTCTATATGTATGGAGTAATTACTGGTTCAAATTAGTGGTGGTGATGAACCGAGGAACTCTTAAAATAGTTAGCCACATTTGAGTAGTCAGAGACTATATTCTCAGGTATTATTTGGCGTGATTAAGTCCTGCGTGTCCTGGGGCTAGTTTGGGACTATACTTCCAGTA